GACTTTGGAGACCATGCAAAATCTGGCAGTGACATATGAACAACTGGGGAAATTGACTGAGGCGGAGGGTCTGAATGCAATTCTCAGGGGGAGTCAAACTTAGGCTATGTTACTCTGCTTTATGTTTCTCTTTTTTTTTACCATTTGACACTGACTGATCAGTACCAATAATTGTCTGAACAGTGTAGAAAATAGGTTACCGTATGTGCACCACAGGACGGTTATGCAGAGATTTGATCAGGACATGGCTCATTTATTGACCACAACAGGCCCCAAAATAACCAGTGTTATATGTTATAGATATTGGTGCAGTTTGAGGTATGGGGTTTGGACACAGTGAACATCTGACTTCACATAGATCATAGTTGTAAGCAAAATAAGCTAGATTCATAGTAAGAATATGGCAAACATAGTCTGCAAAAAGTATTTACATGTTTGTCCCCACTATTTAAAGTATGTGGGAATCTTCAAATTCCTAGCAGCAACTCACAGCTCACAGCCGCAGTCGCTTAGTGCAGGAAGAAGAAAGTACCAGGGTTGTAAAGGGGCTGAAAAAAAAAAACACCGTGGTCAAAAAGACAAAATGCCGGGGTTGGAACAGAACAAACACCGCGGTTGAAAAGTAAAATTACCCGTGTCGGAATTACAAAAGATGCCAGGGTTGTAAACGAGGACCAGGCTGGATTCAGTCATAAGTAAATCAACCAGCGATGAATATTATTAGTGGGTGAGCAGGTACTGTGTTTTAATTTTTGTTGGGACGGGGTGTGAACTACTAGTATACAAGCAGTACAGTGCATGTCAATGGGTGGGGGCCTAACACAGTAGTCAAGCACAGACATCCTCGGCTCCTGCAGAATGGGGAGGGATCTGTAAGTGAAGTGATAGTGATTCTGCACATGTATTCGCCAGGATGCGCACAGTGCACATACCAATCGGCTCGACGAGAGCTCGCAAGAAGGGATTTCCAACACTCGTGTCTGCCGCCTCCCCGACCCTTCCCAGCTTTTATAAAAGAAATCGGGTGTCAATGCAAATGTATTGCACATTTGGGCTGCCGAACGTTTTTTTAATGAGCATCTGATGAACCCCAAAACACATCACCTGAATGACGAAGGAAAGAGGGCAGGGAGAACTAGTGGTATGTGGTACATGCACGCGTAAGTTACGTATTGAATGGAGACGGGCACGTACTGGGGTTCAATTTCAATATTCAATTCCCTACTGGTGCATGATTTGGACTGGCATTGCTCTTTTTATTTGGTGAATTATCAGAGTGGCTCTGGGAGATGTCTCACACCTGAGGAGAGATGCCGCCGGATAGGCCGTGCATGCTTCTTCGAGGGCGAGACTAGAGCCGATTCCTACTCATGCATTCATAGCTTCTCCCATGTTTTCATCAAGTTGTCATTGTTATAGCCGCCGAAAAATGCAGGATGCACACCGACATAAAGAAGGTCAAAGTGCTAGGAGCAAGCACCGGTGGTGTATGGCACAAATGCCGTGTCGGTATGCAAATGCAGTCGAGTTAATCGGCGAGACGGGGTTCGATTCTCTACCGATGCATTCCACTTGAAGCGACCTTTAATTTTTCCTGCACGTGGCACTGGTATCTCTGTACGCACGATGGGGACTCAAAGCGGAACAGAACGCATTATCTGCCCGTAGGTGATTGATTCCACGCTTGACGAGGTCCTGGTAGGAGAACGCACCGGTGGTGTACGATACACGCGCCGTCCCTGTGTTCAGTTATCATTTGCACACATTTATGGGCGATACGGGGTTCGATTCCCCGCTGGTGCATGTGATTGGAATCTGGTGATTTTTTTGTCCCGTCCGCACCAGGGGATCAAAAACAAGAAGGTTGGACAGCAGGTATGGTATTCTATTGCTATTTGGCAGTGGGTGACGAGACGGGGCTGGATTCCCGTTGATGTCTCTAACCGTGGCCTTTCTTCCCATGTTTTTATCCAGCCGTTTTGATTATACAGTAGCCCTCGAAAATAACACGTGCACCTAACGGTTCAAACTGCTAGCAGAAAGCACCAGTGGTGTATGGTACACGCGCCATCCATGTGTGCATGCTGTGATGGCTTTGATCGGCGAGACGAGGTTCGATTCCTCGCTGGTGCATAAAAATTGTGGATTTGATTTTTTCTTCCGCACGGGCGTAATCGCGGACTGGTGTGTATGTAGGTTGTCTGATTCTGTGCAGTGTTCGGCGGAGGATTCATAGCAGCAATTCCGCATGCAGATGCAGACGTCCTCGGCTCGCTGGGATCTGAATCTGTACATGCACCCTATTAGGGCTGCCTAATATTCCCGCTACCTTTAGGTAAGGGTCTTATAGCGCCCTATTTTCAGGACTCGCAGACGATCACATTTTCGTCATCTCTTTTTGCGTAAGCACATATCCTGCCCGCCAAAATGTTTCGGCAATGTTTCGGGCTTACCCACGGTCGCTGCCCATGCCGATGATTGCCCCTTTCGTACTTTGTAACCGGAAACGAGGTTGAAATACTATCACCTTTGCAAAATAGAGCAAAATTTCATCCAGAGATGTCAATTTAGCCCGAATTGTCCCGAAATAAATTTAAGATATCCATGTGACATAGGTAGACAGTGCGCGGACATTCCTACCACGATCCAGGGAGAGGGGAGAATCAATGGTGGTTGATCAAAATGTTTGCCTGCCAAATTCCCGTGTAATTCTTTTGGGCAAAAGTAGGTAACTTCTCGGGCGGCTTCGGTGCAGTCTCAATTCTGCCTCAAAAATCCAGCCATTCGTATCGTGGTATGCTGTAGATGTCACAGTGGCTCACCTGCGCAGGGTTTCAGATGCAACAGCCCATCGAAGTACCATCAAAAAAAATCTCGTGCAACGATAGTATGTCAACTGTGCTGCCTTTCCACTGGGTTTTTGAAGAAATATTCTTTTTCCAGGTCTAGCTTGAACTTCTTCACAGGTATACGGTATTTTTTTCGTTCAATTTTGGCGGCCATGTGTCACAGCAGGTCCTATTGAAGCTGAACCTTGGTTCGTCGTCACGCACCACAGAGGTGGTTGTCGAATTGGTTCCATGGTTCAAAAAATGTGGGAAAATCCTTCTTGATGTCAACAATGACCAGGGAACATTGCGGGGTATCTCCTGTATCCTGCAAGGTAATATCCAATGCCCTTGCTAAGTTCCTACCCTCATCTCCTCCCAAACCCAACACATACTAGGTGGGATAAGCATTTCAGGCCAAAAATAAATAACTTGGCATCTGCCCATTTCTGTATGCTCTGCAAAGGTCCCAGATTGCTTTTGAACATTCCTACATCTTTCTTGGATGGTGTCAAAAACTTTGGTCACATCACGGTCTAAATCGACCCGTGAAGAAGTCTTAGTGTCGAATTGGTTCAAGTTGTCACGTGTGACAACCCCCTGCCGAATTGAACGAAAAAAATACACTATGGACGATTACAGCCGTTTGCAAAATGGATGACAGTCGGCATAAAAAATAAATAAGAACAAGTTTTGATCTGGCTCTTTGCTGAATGCACAGCCCGTGCAATTCTCCACTGATCTGCTCGTCTTTGGTACCGTTCGAGAGGTATTAACCAGGGCTTTCGATTAGTGCCCTGCACAGTGTGTAATTCGCGAAATTGGAGGTCGTCAAACTTCGCTTCCAGTGATTACAACTGTAACCTGTTTCTCTTATTACTCTGTCAAATCTAAACCAATTCTCTCGTGGTCGGTTGCGTCTAAGAGGCGATGTGGTGGCATACGCTTCCACAAGGAGATAAAATGGTTTGACCCTGACATGGCCGTTGTACGTATGATTGGTCAAATAAATCAGAGGTTCGCACGGCAGAGAGACTACAGACCACTGCGACACAATTTGGCTCCCTGTGGATGGATGCCAAGGATACAGCTTTTGAACACACCCAGAATCTACCAGATTCGAAGCTGACGGAGCATTGAGCAGGACAAGATTCGGTTGGATACAACGGAGGCCAATTTTGAGTACCCCAAATGTTACAAATTATACGCTCCACCGGGCACGAATCGAAAGCCCTGTTTAAGCCCTTTGGAACGGTACCCAAACCGAACAAATCCGTTGAGAATTGAATGAGGTGCGTGGTCAGAAAAAGGTCACATCAAAAGTTGTTCTTTTATTTATTTTGTGCCGACTGTCATCAATTTTGCAAACGGCTGTAAGAGAATTAGCTCATAGTTTGCCTGTTGTGCTTGAAGTTGAATGTTGATGGTACTCATGATCAGGGTTCAACTGCAGAATTGACAGAAATTATACCGGAATGATTGTGCTAATGCACTGCAGCCTCTCTGAGTCCGGCCCAATGCGATATGCTGATACACCTTTGCTTGCCTTTCCCTTCGTTCAAGGCTACTTCATCTGGAAACTACTAGTTCCTCTGTGGCCCAATGTGAGCTGGTCGACGCACATGCATCAACCGAGTAAACTTTGGGCCGCCTGGACGAGTTGCTCCTTGGCAGCCCATCGTGTCCACGCGAGCTGGTTAAAGTATTGTTGAGGTTTGGGCCGCCTTGGAAAAATATTTCTTTTGAATTATTACAAGCTTAAAAAGAAAAGGAACCAAAAATGGTAGCGGGCCGTGCCGCTCGTCGGCTCTACCCGCTTTATTTTGTTATTCGAGTGGTCTGGTGAACCCACGAATGTAGTATTTTAATGGGAAGGAATGTGGGGGAGCACTGGTGATGTGTGGTTGATTTGCGTGCGAACCCCACCCACCCCTTTTATGTTGAATCTTCAATCTTCGGAGTGAATCTGAGATGTCGCACACATGAGGAGGGGAAATTCAGTGGGGGAGCACACCGATGGTACAGAGCACAGGTGGACGCAGTAAGCTCGAAGGCGATTTCCGCTCCTGCATTGTGACCTTCCTTCTCATGGTTCATCCAGCCCTTGTGATTATGGCCACGGAAAATACAGTACGTGCGCTTAACTAACGACGGCCAAACTGCTAGGAAGAAGCACCGGTGGTGTATGGTACACGCGCTGTCCCTGTGCGTCCAATGTGGTTAGCGAGTCAATCGGCGAGACGGGGTTCGATTCCCCGCTGGTGCATAAGAATATTGGATGTGACTTTTTTTTCCGCACGGGCGGGGCACTGCCTAACCGCGGGCTGGTATGTATGTAGTTTGTCCGATTTCTGCCGCAGTCTGATCCTGTGCGGTATTCGGCCGAGAATTCAGAGCAGCATTGTCAATTCCGGGTGCAGACATCCGCGGCTCGCTGGGAAGACCGAATAAATGAAATCAACAGAGGGCCAAAAATTCCGAGGAAACGGATGCATTCAGAGGCGGGGAGTCGAACCCCGGGCGCCCATTTTAGTCCAGATAGCGAAGGAATAATGAGGAGCGAGGGTGTGCCGTAGACCACGTCCGAGCTGTCCCATAACATGTGTTCCGGCATAGGTGGGGTAGAAAAATCAGCCATTAGAGACAGAAATATCGCTCCTGCATTCACGGCGAACTAGCGTTAGTCCAGTGACCTCAACAACAAATGTCCACCTGCAGGGATACTCGGGTCCAAGATATGCGTAGTGCTGTGGATGAATGGCGCTAGCTAGTGGCATGCGGCTAGGACGGAACGTTAATCGTGGTGCGGCCTATCACTTTTCGGGCAGGAGATATATATTTCCCTGGATATGTACCCACCCAAGTGAGCCACTTATTTGACGAAGACTAGAGGCAAAAAACAAACACAAGAAACAATCAATTTCAGACGCGGGAAGTCGAACCCCGGGCACTCACTGGATTCCAACCACCCTGTATGCAGAGTGAGGGTCTTCCGTGCACCATATTTGATTCAGAACTTTTTCTGAGCGGAGGAGAAAAAAAGACGGAACTTCCTGAAAATTCAGACGCGAGGAATCGAACCTCGGCGGAACTCGCTTTGTACATCTGTGACGACCTCTTTGTATATGAAGAGCGAGTATCCTCTGTACACCACATACCATTCAAAGACCTCCTTCGGCAGCTGTCTTGGAGGTCAAAAATGAAAAAGGAAATCGTCAAAGCATCGGACGCGGGGAGTCGAAACCTGAGCGCTCTCGCTTTGCAGTCTTTCGATTTGCGCATGCAGCGCGAGGGTGTTCCGTTCACCACATCCACTGCATACCCTCAATTGTGTTCCGGGATAAAAGAGAACTTTTACTCCGAGGAGTAGGGTGGAAAATAATTTGCAAGAACATCATGGATTCAGACGCGGGGAGTCGAACCCCGGTGACGCGCTGGTAATCGGAACGCTACACTCACACTCAAAAAGCGAATGTGTACCATACACAACATCTGATTCAGAATGCCACATCTGTATCCTCCGAAGTGAGCTACTTGTTTGACGAAGAGTGGAGGCAAAAAGCAATGACAAGAAACAGACTCACTTGCTTTCGAGGGATACGAAGAGCAAAAAATAGTCAATCCAGTCCGAACACTGCGCACCCCTGCCTCCGGCCACCCTTCGAAGGCGAGACCAGAGTCGATTCGTACTCGTGCATTTGTGGCTTCCCTCTCATGTTTTCATCCAGTTATTGCTGAACCTTTAGGTTTGGCTACCCTGGGGAACTTGGGTTTCGATCACGATCTATTTTCCTAACATGCACAAACAAGGAATGTGTCATACAAATTTGGTCATCATGCTAAACAGTATTAGTTTTTGGTGTTGCGACGTGGAATTTCTGATGTGCAGTGCCATGCCGCCTTTTTCTTACCATGCCAGCATCGCAGTTCACATAAGTTACTACTGCTACCAAAATGCTACTGGCTTTTCGTTCTGATGTGTCATTTTCTTTTCGAGTTTGTCCGACCACATCGGACTCGGAATATTTTGTCTCCGAAATCAATCAGTTGACATGAAAAACCCAGTGGAGTCGAAGGGTCTAATTTTGACGTTGTGGTGGCACCTCCAAGCAGGTACAAATTTATCAACATTGATTAAGTACAAAGCAATCTACTAATCTGCTGTTAGTTGACAATGCGCCAGCACCACCGATAGGCAAAGACTCACGTTTCCTTTTATACTGCCCCGCGCAAAGATGACGCACCAAATCACCAAATCATGGTTCGTGTTGAAGGTTCCCGGCTGTCCCTCGGTCTTCCAAGCCGATGTTCCGTTCGTATCGTATGCGTGCATCGCATCCAAGTCGCGTCTACTTGTAACTTGATAGCACCGCCATGTCGTGTGCACTGCCCGCATGAGACGAAACCCCAACTCTTGTAGACTCTAGATCATGTAGTAGTGGACATAGACAATCTCTTGTTTTGAATTGAGTGTGCCGAGGAAGTTGGTAGAGGCGACTCAGGCGAGTACAAGGAAGACACATCGTGGCAGCAGAGTCGGAGGGAGAGTGCCGTCACGCACATGCATCGCGGCAAGTCATCACGAGCTGTGTTGTCACCCGGTCTGGAATACCCGGAATACCTCCTGCCCGGTGAGGGTGGTCTGGATGAAGGTAACTGCACTTTTTTGCAGGAGAATTTATTGAACAGTTGAAGCCGAACATTTGAAAAATCAGAAAATGCTACCCGACGCTCCGTTTGCTCTGGCTCGATCCGACTGTTTGGAATCGTAGAAAGTCCCTCTTCAACTTGAACCTAAAGGTTCAGCGCCCGCCTCGAAGAGGCCCAATCCTCAGTCATGATTATTATAGCCGCCGAGGAATGTAAGATGTACACTGACATAACGACGGTCAAAGTGCTAGGAGCACGCACCGGTGGTGTATGGCACACACGCCGTGTCTGTGTAATACAGGTGTAGTCATTACTCGGCGATACGGGGTTCGATTCCCCGCCGGTGCATATGGTCGGAATGACTAGTACTTTTGTTCTCCCCGTCTGGACGGGTGATTTTTTGGCCCGTCCGCACCAGGGGATCAAGAACAAGAAGGTTGGATGGGAGGTATTCTATTTATATTTGCCAGTGGGCGTGGCCTTCCTTCCCATGTTTTTATCAAGCCGTTTTGATTACAGCCCTCGAAAATAGCACGCGCACCTAGCGGTTCAAACTGCCAGCAGAAAGCACCAGTGGTGTATGGTACACGCGCCGTCCATGTGTGCATGCTGTGATGGCTTTGATCGGCGAGACGGGGTTCGATTCCTCGCTGGTGCATAAGGATTGAGAATTTGATTTTTTCTCCCGCACGGGCGTAATCGCGGACTGGTATGTATGTAGGTAGCCTGTCTGATGTTCGTCGCAGCCTGATCCTGTGCGGTATTCGGCGGAGGATTCAGCAGACATCCTCGGCTCGCTGGGACGTGAATGTATACATGCACCCGGGGATCGCTGGCACACGTATTAGGGCTGCCTGACATTTTTTTATTCGAGCCATCTGGTGAACCCACAAATGTAGCACCTTACAGCTGTTTGCACATCTAATGACACTACCTAATAAATGTAAATAAGAGCACATCTTAATACTTCCCGTCTCTGTCGCATCGTTTCTTGCCTATTTCTTGGCCGAATTCCACAATTCTAGGTGCGTTCTGACCGGAATCAGTAGCGCTATCGATCTGACATGGTCTTGGGCCTCAGCTCGGACGTTTATTTTTTGAGCACATCGGCTCCTACTCGCTTCACCGTCTGTCTTGAAGAACATCCACGGAGCTCAGTTCTCCCTCCGTCCACCTGTACATAGGTCCATTCTGACGGGATTTACCGCCCCTTCCTAACGCTTTCCATCTTTCCTCCGTACAGCGTGGCTCCCTGATCCCCAATCCTTGCTTGAAACAGGTTTTGTCGCGCTCGTTCTCATCCATTTCTTGGTAGATTCCCTTCGTTCAAGGTGCGTTATCAAGCCCCATGGGACCCTCATTTGAGCTGATTCATGCCATCTGTATCAGTATTTTACGATCCACACGCACAAATGGTCAATCGCAGGATAAGCCGTGATGTCAAAATAGCCGCTATCAATCTCTACGAGCAAGGACATCTTTCCCTCAATGCAATCATCTCTTGCGTGGGCTTCTCTCGAAGCACATTCTTCCGTGTCTTGAAACTTTGGCGCACGACCGGCGATGTGGTCCGGCCGCGCAAACATAGCGGCCGCCCTCGGCTTCTACATCATGATGATGTCGACTACCTCATCCGCCTCGTTCAGCACCAGCCCGACTGGTTCCTCAGTGAGCTCCTCAGCCTGCTCCGACACAATCGATTCATCTCCGTCCACTATACAACTATTCATTGGGAACTTGAGCGTGCTGGCATGTCTACCAAAGATCTCACAGTGATTGCCACCGAAAGGAGCGAGCCTTCTCGGTTGGACTATGTCCGTGAAATTGCTGAATATCCTGCACATTATCTCGGCTTCCTCGATGAGACATCCAAAAATGACAAAACTCCTGCTCGGCGTCGTGGACGAGCAAAGAAAGGTAAACGTGCCGTAAAGCGCCAAAAATATGTTCGCGGACGGCGTGTGACTGCTACCGGTTTACTCACGTCGCGTGGTATGCTGGCTAGCACCGTTGTTGAGGGGTCTATGCATCGGGACCAGTATCTTACTTTTTTGGAGCATCAGGTCGTGAGTTTCCGAATCCTTTCAACCTGTCCTTGGTGCTGAGGAATTGTTTGAAGCTCCCGCTTTGCTCTGCATACCCTGGACCGCTCAGTGTACTTGTAATGGACAACGCAAGGATCCATCACGGTGAAGAAATTCTCGAGCTGTGCAATCGTTTCGGTGAGTATTCCTCATACCGTCTTCTGTAAAGTCTCATGCCAATTAGGTGTGCGGGTTGTGCATCTTCCACCCTACTCCCCTGACCTGAATCCGATTGAAGAAGCTTTTTCCAAGATCAAAGCCTGGATTCGTCGCAACAACGACTTATTCTCTTATGGGCCAGACGACGAACCACATGCCCTCATATATGATATGCTGGAGGTTATGAACGTCATTACAGAGTCTGATGCAATCGGGTATTTTATTCACGCCGGGTACTTCTAGCTACAATCTTTCGTTGGAGATAATTTACATGCAGAAGTCCACAATTGAGGTCAAAGGCAGCAAGTTTGGGTCAAAAAGTGACAATAAAGTACGCTAATCATGCTATCATCGGCATCTGGGCCCACTCCGAGATCGCCACTTTCAGTTCTGCGACCTCACCCTTCATGAACCCCATTTCTTTCAACTCCGCTACTTCAATGTACTTGAAAGTGTTTGTTCGTTTGAATTTTTGTGCGAGGAATCGGGTGGAAATGTCCTCGTCGAGGTTATAGAGCAAGCAGAAGTCCTCGATGGAAAGATCTGGGCCAGCGATGAGAGGAGGGGGAATAAGCATATCAGAAGTGGTGGCAGGAGCTATGAGCGCAGGTGGAACAGCAGCGGCAGGAGCAGTGGGACGGAGAAAGTTCGCAAAATCGGGGGGAAAATTGAAGTGAACTTGGGGTGCCGCAGGTGTACTATTGGCAGCGGCTTTCTCTTTCAACTCGAGTCGACGTTGGAGAAGAGGGGATTGTGCTGCGAGCGAAGTGGGAGAGACCTTGTCGAAAAGGTTGTTGTTTGGTGGTTTATCGATCGACGCAAACTGCTCGCCCTTGAGCTAACACATCGTAATATCAGTGTGGCCCATTATCTGAGTTCGAAATGCTTACCATGGCTGATCCCCAGCTTTCCATGTGCGCATGACTGAGCGGAAAATGCTCTGGGTCGGTTGGACTAACAAAGCAATACTCACTCCCACAGGGTCCACCAGGGGTCGGGCACATCCATTTTGCGCGCAAGGCACCAATCTTGGAATTTAGAGCAGCGTTCGCGGGGAGTATATCTCGCTCCTTTCGGATCTGAGCACTATTAGTAGATATAAAAAGCTTGGGTTGAACGAATTGACCTTGGTTTTCGTTTTCTTGCTGCCTTTTTTTCCATCTCCACCGTCTGATTCATCTGAAAGCCCGTTGTTTTCCTTTTCTGGCTTAGAACGCCCCTACGGTAGACGGTGAGTGATCTCCAGAGTAAGGTGTACTGAAACTCACCGCTTTAGGCTCAACAATTATTTTGACACTTGGGTTTGTCTTGATTTTTAGCGCGTTCTTGAGGAGATGGGAGTAATTTTCGTAATCAAGTTGAATCGGATCGATAACTTGACGGGGGATAGTGAATGTGATATTGTAGCTGCCAATGCTGAGGAGGGAAGGCGCAAGAACGGCCTTGATCTTGGCGAGAATTTGAACCTTGAGGGTGTCCCATGACTCGCCGCTGTTCAGCGTCACTATCTTTGTTGTGGGAGGGCCACGGGAGGCTTTGGATTTTTTGAGTTGTTCAGCAGTGTAGATTGATATCTTGTACTCGATTTCGCGTGCGGGTGGCTGGTCTGTTGACACGAGATTAGGGGATACTTGAATGCCAGTGCCAATCACGCACCAGTGGACTTTTTCTCGGCCCTACTGCGCTTCCGCTTCTTGGGCACCTCTACAACTTCATCCTCCTCATCCGAATCCTCCCCTGTGCCGTCCCTCTCCTCCGTCTCCTCCTCCTCCTCCCCCTCCTCCTCTTCTTCGTCCTCGTCCTCGTCCTCGTTGGTAAGGCCTACGAGCGTTGCATCCATGTCCTCATCCTCCGAGTCAATGAGATCTTGTGCAGCAAGCTTGGCGATATTAGACGAGATTGTGCGTGCAGAGGAGCGAGTGGACATGGCAGATACTACTAACGGCACGGCTCAGCTCGATTCGGGGTCCTAAGAGCTTGGTAACGCACCTAGAACGAGGGAAATCGGCGACGAAATGGGCGAGAACGAGCGCGACGAAGATGGCAAGCAAGAGCTGCAAGCGAGATTTGGGAGTTACAGAGTCGGGATACTGCGACGGTAGACAGGTACGGTTAGGAGGGGAAGGAAAATTCCGTTTGAATGTACCTACTTTCAGGCGGATCGGACAGGTATTGGGCTCAGTAGAGGCTCTTCAAGATAGACGGTGAAGCGAGCGGGAGCCGATTTGGTCAAAATAAAACGTGCGAGCTGAGGCCCAAGACCATGTCAGATCGATAGCGCTGCTGATTCCGGTCAAAACGCACCTATAATTGTGGAATTCGGCCGAGAAATGGGCAAGAAAAGACGCGACGGAGACGGGAAGTATTAAGATGTGCTCTTATTTACATTTATTAGGTAGTGTCATTAGATGTGCAAACAGCTGTAATGGGGGAGGAGCACTGATGTCACGATGTATGGTTGATTCCCCCCCCTTTTTTGTTGAATCTTCAATCATCGGAGTGAATCTGAGATGTCGGTCCGGTTGCACACATGAGGAAGGGAAAATCAGAGAGGGAGCGCACCAATAGTCCGGAGCACAGGCGGACGCAGTAATCTCGAAATTCGATTTCCGCTCCTGCATTCGTGACCTTCCTTCTCATGGTTCATCCAGCCGTTATGGTTATGGCCACGGAAAATACAGTACGTGCACTTAACCAACGACGGCCAAACTGCTAGGAGGAAGCACCGGTGATGTATGGTACACGCGCTGTCCCTGTGTGTCATATTTGGGCGACTTAATCGGCGAGACGGGGTTCGATTCCCCGCCGGGTGCATAATTGATACTCAGTCATTTTGGACCTGGATCTGAGCTTTTCATTTTAGTGTTTGATGGAACGGGGTGCGAATGCTTAGGATACGACCAGTCCCTGTCAATAGGCTTTCCTGCAGACGCGGCGGTTGAGCGTCATTTACAGGTTCAACTTCTCAGGCACGTTTCGGCCGACGATCTGCTTCGGGAGCCGGGTCCGAAGTCAAGCCACGTTCTGCCTCACATTTGTTTTGACGCCCACACTCGTCTTCACGGTCCCATCTTCGAGAACGCAGATACGAGGGATGGACGGACGGAGGAGCGCTAAGCTGACGCTAATACTTACTTATAGCCCGCCTCTGCCTGTAGGTTCGTAACAACTACTTAGATTGGCAGCTTAGTACTTACCCGCGCAGCGTTCGTTAATTCCGCACCAGAGGGCTGGTCAGGGCGGAGTTGGGGTGCATCGTCGTTCTTTGGATAGGCTGCTCTTTGTCGATACGCCGCTCCTCCCTCTGCGCCCGCAATCGACGGATATACGCTACCGCCTACATGCGCGCGGACCCGCCTGCCATCTCCGCGCGCGCCTCCATCTGTCCTGGCCGCCCGCCCGCCATCTCCGTCCT